ATCGGGTAGAAGTAGTGTGGACGTCCCACTCGTAGGTGCGCGCGTCGACCCACGCCTTCTTGCGCGGGTTGTCGGCGCCGAGGGCGCGCGTTTCGATCATCTCGACTAGCTGCGCGTCGAAGCAGTCGCGGCAGCCGCCATAGGCGCCGCCCTCGCGCCAGATTGGGTGCCGCGACGTGCAGCCGCACAGCCAGCCGCGCTCCGCGCGGCTCTCTCGGAGGTCGCTCTTCAACTTCTCCTCGATGAAGCGGCGCTGCTCGGACGACTCGAAGTTGACCTCGTCCGCGGCGGTGCCGTACTCGCCCTTCTTGACGAGGCCGTCGATGAAGTCGTCGCACTTGTCTTCCGGGATGGTCTCCTCGAGGCGCAGCCGCGCGTGCAGCGACGAGAGGAGGACCGCGTGCACATCGGCGTCAATCCTCTGCGCGGTGAGGGCAAAGCAGAGGCGGCAGGTGCGGAGCTCCTTGGTCGTGTACCAGTGGTCGTATCGCGAGGCGTGGGAGTACGTCGGCCACGCGACGCTCGGCCAGAGGGAGATGGCAGGCATGCAGTGCTTGACGTAGAGCTGCTCGAGCTTCCCCGCCTCCTTCCGGCCGTCGCGCGCGATGTTAAAATTCTCCTCGAAAGAAAAGGCGGGCCGGCCCTCCTGAGCGCGCGCGGCAAGGAGGGTCGGTGCGGGTGCGAGGGGTGGAGGTGAGAGCGGGGGTGGACGCACCCGCTCGTCGCGCCGCTGGATCGCGCGGAGCTCCTCCTGGATGTCGCCGCCGACGTTGGGCGCGTGCGTGCCGGAGCCGAGGTGGACGGTGATGCGCAGGAAGTGCGCGTGCGCCTCCTTGTCGCGCGCCGTCTGGTCCGCCTTGTTCATGGCCTTGCGCGCGCGCTGCAGGTCGGCCTTCTCCTGCGCCTCCATCTCCAGCATCTGCTCGCGGAGCTGCTCCCGCCATAGGAATTTCTCGAGCCTCTCCCGCCGCTTGCGCCGCGCCGCCTTTGCTGCGAGCGGCGCCTTGCGGTCGAGCTCCGCTCCCTTCGGCGGCTCGTAGCCGTCGGCGAGCAGGAAGTCGTGGAGGCGCGCCTCGAGGTACCATTCCCTCTCCTTCTCCAGCACCGGCCACAGCTTGCTGCCGTCGTCGAACTTTTCGTACTCGAGCAGAAACACGTCCTCGAGCGTCGGCTCGCGGCGTCCGTTCGCCTCCGCTCGCACATAATGGTGGTAGCGAGGGAGGTGCAGCGGCGGCAATGTGTACGACTCATACGGCTTGTCGTCGAGCGCGGCAGCGAGCGAGGCGGTCTCCGCGAGGCCCGTCAGCTCCAGATTGCGCTCGCGAGCCTTCACCACCTCGCCGCTGCCGTCCAGCTCCACCTTCCACCGCTCACCGTCAGCTCCCGCGAGACGGCCCACCTTACCGTTGAGCTTGGTACGGCTCGCGAGGTCGCGCAACGCGACTCTCTGGCCTTGAAGGCGACGCACCTCTTGCGGCGTGCGGCGCATGAGCTGTGTAGAGATTCGCTGCCGTCCCTCTTTTGATCGAAGAAACCCTCGCCCGAGCGGCTGCCCGCATCTTTGATTTGCTGTGTGAGTGTTGAGGTGATGCGAGCGCGCGTGCGCGCGGCGCGCGTGCCGTTTTGGGTCTCTTTTATACCAGTGATGAAATATAAACCGACTTTACCACGCGCGCGCACGCGCGCGCCGCGCTCCTCGACTCTCTCGCACCCGCCCCGAGCCACGCCCCTCACGAGATAGGCGGCTGCGACCCTGAGAGTGCGCAGCGGTGCCGCTGGCGTGCTCACCACACCCATCCATCATGCCTGCATCATTCCTGCACGTACTGCCCGGTCTGGTCGGGGCGTGGGGCGAGATCTGGCATGGCGGCGCGCTTGAACTGAGCGCCTTCGATCGTCTCGCGGCGACAGCTCGCAGGCCGGGCGGCCAGAAACTGTGCCGCTCAGCCATCCGCCGAAGCGAGCGCGCCGGCGGCGGTCCGCCGCCGGCGCGCTCGGCTCAGTGTCTTCAAGCCCGCCGGTGGGGAGCTCCGCTTGCGGGCAACGATTGAACTGCGGGCAGCCTCGCTGTCCGTGAATCAAGCACTCTTCACGGACTGTTTGATTGTGGAAACAACCAATCTCTACACCACTTATGGGATGTCGCAACGACCAGTCGGAGATTTGAGCGCGAGATGTTGTTCACACAAAAACAACCCCGGACGCGCATCACACCTAGAGCAACCCTGCGGGAGAACTTCGGTGGTTCCGCTAGACGTCAAGAAAGACAGGAAGAAACCAGTGCCAAAATGAGGCCAGCCGCACAAGTTGAGTAACACAAACACCGAAGCTGCAGGCTGTGGCTGCAGCCAGCACAAAGGACAGACAGCCCCACAACACACGCCTCTCCACGCACCACACGCTCCGCCAAGCGCGCCTCGCCCCGCAACGCGGCGCGCAAAGGCGCCGTGCACGTACACGATGGACTGCCGCCGCTCCGGCACCGACGGCCCGACCGACTCCACCCTGAGCCGGGTGCCTGCTCGGCAGCGTGTGGTAGGTGCACGGTGGGCGGCGGCGGGAACGGAGCCGCGGCTGGAGTGAAGGGCGAGCCGCCGCCGCCGCACCACCACCACCAGCGACGATTGTTCGCGGCTCGCCCCCGCCGCCAGGCGCCGGATCGGCAGTGAGCCACACGGGCCGCCGACAGCCCCCCCCCCTCCTTTCATGACGGTCGCTCTCGCTGCCGGCCGATGAACCCTCGCCGCCACCGCACCAGCGACACCAGCGACACCGGCCGCGGCTCGCTTCCACGCGCCGGCTCGGAAGAGGGGCTGTCGGCGGCGCAGCAGAGCGGCTCGCCTCGGCGCTCGAGCCGCCGACAGCCCCACTCCTCGACGTGACGGCCGCTCCCGGAGCCAGCCGGTGCGCGCCCGACCCACGCCCCCTCTCGCACCCCTCCGACCCCCCCTGCGCGGCGCACCTATCCGCTGTGCGCCGGCTCGAACGCCTATCGCCAAATCGCGACGTTTGAGCGCAGCGCACGCGTCCCACACGTCACGCGCGCGCAGGAGAGCTTGCGGCGGTGCTGTAGCGTGTACTCGCCGAGGGCATCGCGCCGAAAACCCCGCGCGTTCCGCCCCAGCAGAGGCTGCAGCCGATGCGACAAAAACACCACTGTAAAACGGTGAGTACTTGGGGTTGAGTGGGCTTGCTTGCTCCCTTAGCCGGGAGCAAAAATGCAAGAAAACGCCTTTTGTTCAAAGCCGACCCTAAGCGCCATCCTTCCTGCTCTCACTTGATGCTGCTTCCCCGCGCCGCCTCCAGCGTCCAGGCCTCCTTCCTTGGCCCCCTTGCACGTATTTTCTACTCCCAGTGGGGGGGGGCGGCCCCCCCGGCCCCCTCTTGTTTTCTGTTTGAGCACTTGAGCACTTATAGGGCCGATTCCGCATGGTACGGGACCCCTTTCCTGTTTTCTGTTTTTCAAAACGCCCGCCCGCCCGCCACCCCGAGGCGGCTCGGCCCCCCACAGACCGAGAGATCAAAACGGGACGGCCCCGCGCCCACGCCCACGCCGGTCACGGGCACAGTCTCAGTCACGCCACACCCCGACACACAGCCACAACACCGCATCGGCCATCTCGCGCATGGCCATGCACACCGACACACGACGATGCGCGGGGCCTCCTTGTGCCATCTGCATTCACGTGCGTGCACAATATCAATAAATAATATTGCCGCGCCGGCGTCGTACACAACGTATACAACCTCCTGCACGCATCTTACCACTTACGTCAGATCTATCTATCTATCACCGCATGGATGGGTTGTCTGATGAACTCTCTCTGCTCATGCGCTCATGCGCTTGGCCGCTGCCACTCGACCTCGAGCTCTTCTCGAGAGGATGGTCTCAGGCCCAGTGAGGTAGTGCATCTGACTATCCCGGATCCTGCTGAACAAGCTCCTCTTGTAGCTCGATCGGTCACACCGCCATCGCCGTCGGGGAGAGGGGGGACGACACTGCCTCGGCAGCGTGCACCTCGATCCTGTACCGTGTTTGTTATGACCCCCCCCAATGAACACACCAGTGAGGGAGGGCGAGACGATCGAGGGGTCCCGTACCATGCGTAACCGACCCTATCCAGTGCTCAAGTGCTCAAGGAGACGAGACACGGTTTTTAATGTACTTTTGCTCGAGGATGAAATCCTGCCGATGAGCAAAACTGGTTGCGACCAGATCAGAATCTTTCGGCGGGCCAAAAAGTAAGAACCAAGGTCGAACTCTATTTACCGATCCCGGGTCCACACGAATATGCATGGCAGAGCAGCCGCCCCAAGAGCACGATGACGACTCCGGCCCAGCCGCCCAACCTTCTTTGCCGTGTCCACTGCACTATATCGACGTGGCCGTGGGGTGATCGGTGCTCTTGGACAGGCTGTGCAGGCTGCACTGAATGCACGGCGCCGGTCTGCGAGCGCTTCTGCACACAGAAGACCCAACCCTGGGAGATGAGGTGCTTTTGGGACGGCTGCCGAGGGTGTACCGAATGTTTTGTCTCGCCACCACCAACGATGATGCCTCCGCAGACGCCGACCCAGCTGCTACCGAGCTTATGCAAGCAGCACTGTGCCGTACATTCCTACCCGTGGGTGACGCGTTGCACTTGGCCCGGCTGTGGAGGCTGCTCGGAGTGTTCCTCGCCTCGCTCACAACCCCAGCCTTCGCCCTCGCCGCCTCTGCCCTTGCCGCCTCCGCCCACGCCGCCTCCGCCCTTGCCGCCTCCGCCCTTGCCGCCTCCTCCGCCGGCGTTGCCTCCGCCCACGCCGCCTCCGCCCTCCCCGCCGCCTCCCACGCCGCCTCCGCCCACGCCGCCTCCGCCCACGCCGCCTCCGCCCACGCCGCCTCCACCCTCGACACCGCCCTCGCCTCCGCCGCCACCGATCTGCAGTCCCTTATGTGCGGACAAGACCGCTCCGCCGGAAGTGACGTGCCGTTGGGACGGCTGCGGTGGATGTGCCGCATGCTATGTTTCGCCACCACCGCCGACGCCGCCTCCATCAGCTCCTCCATCTCCGCCATCTCCGCCAAGCTCCCTACCGTGCAGACAGCACTGTGCTGCTCAGACGTTCCCGCCGGAGAAAACGTGCACTTGGTCCGGTTGCGCAGGCTGCCCGGAGTGCGTTCCTCCCGCGCCGTCGCCGCCTCCCGTGTCGCCGATGGAGGTAGATGGTTTCACGTACGTCGGCTGCTACCAGGATGACGCTGACCGCGACCTTCTACAGCCAAAAATCGATGACGGGTCGAACTGGGGGTTCGATCACGCGACGTGCAACCGTGCCTGTCAGGCGTACACGTACTTTGCGTTGCAGCACGGTGTCCAATGCTACTGCGATGACACGTACGGGACGCCTGCACAGCAGTACCCGCGCCTCCCGGACGTCAGATGCCATATGGAGGGCTACTGCGCAACATGCGGCAGCGGCTACTCCAACTCTGTCTTTGTCGTCTCGCCGCTGCCGCCCCAGCCGCCACCGTTGCCACCATCTAATCCGATACCAAGACCGCCGGGCGCACCACCGCCCTCGCCACCATTGAATAGTCGAAGGAATGTTCTCTTCATCATGGTTGACGATTTGGCGCCGCTCCTCGGTACGTATGGGCGCCAATCGGGCTTCGCGCCGGCGATCACGCCGATCATCGACCAGTTTGCGGTTGAGGGAAGCCTCTTCGAGACGGCCTACGCTCAAGTCCCCATGTGTGGCGCGTCACGCGCAAGCCTGATGACAAGCCTGTACTCGACGCCGATCCGCTTCAATCAGTGGGACTCGTGGGCCCAGTTCGATGCGCCCGGCGTCCCTGACCTACCAAAGGTGCTCAGGTCCAAGGGCTACAGGACGATCTCGAACGGCAAGATCTACCACGAGCATGCGGACAACGCGGGCTCGTTTCACGAAGTCTGCATCTTCTGTCAACAATGCGTTGGCTCATCGGACTCAATCTCCTCGTGTCCCTACAGGGGTATGTGCTGCCCATACAGGGACTACCCACCGAACCCACCCAGCCCGCCCTTTGCGCCGCCTCCTCCGCCGCTGGTACCTGGGTGCAGTACCTTTTGCACAGGCAACACCAAATCGTGGACGCAAAAGTGCAACTGGAAGTTGTCGTGTAGCGGGTGCGCAGAGTGCACATCACGGCCACAGGCCCCTCTGCTCCAGCGAGCGAGCGAGGGGGCGAGCGCGTCCTCGGACTCCAGAAGGCACGATCGATTCGACCCGTTGGCGGAGAACCGGAGCACAGTTTCGCTCCTCACGCGACCCTCGGGGCCGGGGGGGCGGGTCGGCGGCACGTCGCCGGCGTATGAGGCAGCGGACGTGGACGACTGGACGTACCCCGACGGAGTGATGACGGAGAAGGTGATCGGAGACATCCGTCGTGCCCACGAGGACGGCGGCCCGTTCTTTATCACCGCGGGGTTCAATCGGCCGCACCTCCCTTTTGCTTGCCCCAAGCGGTACTGGGACATGTATCAGCGCTCCGAGCTCCGCCTGGCCAGTAACCCGTGGCTGCCCGAGGGAGCGCCGATTCGATCGATCCACTACAAGGAGCTCACAGCCTACGGCGACTTTCTGGGTGAGCCGATCCCCACGTACAATGCGGGGACCGGCGGACCGAGCGGCGGCGCCGTCAACCTGCCCGATGAACTCGCAAAGGACCTCGTCCACGGCTACTACGCCTGCGTCTCATACGTCGACGCCCTCATCGGCTACCTCTTTGCAGAGCTCAAGTCGTTCTCCGCGCCGCCCTCGCCACTACGCGACGCAGGGTCCGTGACGCCCAGGACAATGTACGACGAGACGATCATCACCTTTACGAGCGACCACGGGTATCACCTCGGCAACAAAGGGACGTGGTGCAAGCACTCGGTGTACGAGACGTCGCTGCACGTGCCCATGATCATCAAGGCGCCCGACTTCGCCCCGTCGCGCATCGCGGCGCTCGTCGAGAATCTAGACCTCTACCCGACCATCCTCGACCTGATCGGCGTCCCCGCGCCCGCGCACGTGCAAGGCACGTCGATGGTGCCCCTGTTGGCCAACAGCAGCGCTCCATCGAAGCCCGCGATCTTTGCGCGCTACCGCGACAGCGACACCGTTCGCTTTGCCGACAAGCAGTTCACCGAGTTCTGTAAGAGGCCTCAATGCTGGTCGATCGAAACCTGCACCAGGTCTTGTGAAACGACCTCGGACAAGCACTACATGCTTTACGACCACAGCATCGACCCGGACGAGAATAAGAACCGCGCAGACCTGCCCGCGTATAGCGAGGTGGTGCGGGAGATGCGCGCGGCGCTGCACGCTCACAAGGAGTCGCGCGCCCCGCCGCTGTAAGAATACTCGAGTAGGTGTCGGTCCCATAGCCCATACGGCTTTCATTTTTTCATAGATTCAGTTGTAGGAGTGAAGTCAGGAAGAAAGTTTTGCCGCACCTTTCAAGTTGGGCCACACCTTGCTCCTTGGAGCACTTGGTGCAGTCATCAACGAACCGCACCATCGTGTCCGAGGAGGCCACCGGCCAAAAGCGCATGTCTTGAAGGTCCGATACTGGAAGCCCATAGGCACCTTACACATCGGAAGGGCCGGGAGTCAATCTCCACGGGAAGAAATTATTTTCGCGGGACCGCTTCAACATCGACAGCTTCGGATGTCGAGCAGCCTGCTCGCGCGATCGGAGGAGGTGACGCTGAGACGACTGAGCGCCAAGGAGCTCAAGGTGCAGTGCTGCGCCGTGGCCATCTCGCCTCTTGCCCAAGGCGCCTTACATTAGCCACGGCGTCCACAGGCACGCTGCGCGGCAACCGGCGTCGCAAAGGGCGGAACCAAAGAAGAGTGCGCGCAGCCTCATATCGCGTCGTCGTCACCTCGATGTGTGTAAGGCCATGCACGTTCACTGCAGGATGGTTTCGCGGCTGCTCAATCCTGCGGCCCACCAGGTCAAGGCGAGGGCCGTCAAGAAGCGGAGTCGGCGCGTGATCGTCTGCAGCGACGACGATGACGAGGAGCAGGAGACGGAGGAGGAGCAGGACACTTGCCCCTCTTGCCTTCGCCCTATTGACGCGGAGGAGTTCATCCACCCTTTCAACGGCAACTGCCACGCGTGCCAGGAAAAGGAAGGTCTGGCCTGAGCACGGCAATTCACCTTCCTTCCGCCGTGCCGTGCCAGTCATACTAGCGAAGCGCTGGCACAAAACGTGAAACGATCCATGAGGCATGATCACGCAGATCCGGCAACGCGCTCGAAAGAGCGTGCCACGACGTGTCCAAGCGCGCAGGGGTCAGGCACAGCGCCTGTGAGAGCGCCACCCAAAGGCACCGCGCAGATCCGTGCGCACACGAAGGCGAGGCCTCACAGATGGAGGGGTGCTCGAACGGTCTTACCTGCTGCCTGGATCTGTGCATCGCGCCTACGGCTTTAGGACCGTAGTAGGAGCTCCCGACCACCCGACGTTTTGCGAGACGGCGGTGCGGCAAACGTTCTGGTTTTTGGTTATTGCGTGGGTGATAGATCTATCTATCGTTTGTATGGCTGGCCGTCATATCGGACGACTACTCGCCCCCTCGTCCACCGAGGAGAGGGCTCGCACGGCTCCGTCCTGCCACCTCCCGAGCTGCTGAGCGGCGGGCCCACCGGGTCGAAAGAAGCCGTGGCGGTAGGCGGCGGCTGCCCCACCCGCGAGCAGTAGGAGCACGACGAGTCGCCCGGCCCACGAGCTTGACGTCGACGGGCACGCGCGATGTGTGACGACGGTCGCGACGGTCTCGCACATTGACGGCTCAGCGACGCCACGCAGCTTGGCCTCGCTCACGCTCGGGTCGCACACGAGAGAGAGGGTGAGGCTCCGAGAGCCCATGTCGACCGTCTCGTCCGTCCCGCGCAGGCAGACGTCACCCTTGCGGTAGGTGATGTTTACGCCCTTGCGCGGGTCTCGGGCGTCAAGGAGCGACAGGCTGCGCGTGGCCTCGTCGCCCAGGTTGTTGCACTTTGTGCCGCGCCACTTGGAGCCGACCGAAGGCGCGCCGTTGCACACAGTCTGTGTCGGCCCGCACGCCGAGATAAAATACCTGAAGCCGCTCTCCGACGTGGCGCTCAACTCGGACGGCACAGCGCCTCGCAAGTCGAAGTGATGGCCGGCGTGCTCGTACGCGCAGGGCGCGGCGACCCTGGCGAGGACAAGCGGGACGAAGGCCACGGCCAGCATTTCCTCTTTCGATGGGCGTCGAGGAGAGCTGCAGCTGGCGGCCCGCGCAGTGCAGCGCGTAATTTCTTACTCTAGGCGCCAAGTAAGGCTAATTTAGTGCGCGTGAATGAACTTTAGTGATAGTTTAGTGCGCTATTTAGTGCGTGTTCGAGTGCGTGTGTAGTGCGTCTTTAGTGCAAATTTAGCACAAATTTAGCGCAAATTTAGCACATATTTAGCACATATTTAGCACATATTTAGCACATATTTAGTGTGTTTTATCTCAAATTTAGCGCCACATTTAGTTCACTTTAGGTGCGGGCAGCTGCAGTACATTTAGTGTGGGTCCCGCATCTTTAGTGCGGGCACGCATCTTTAGCACGGCTTCCCGGCCACACCACAGCTAGCCAGGGCCGCGTGCTTTGCTCCTTGGCTGCCAAGAATGCACCACAGGAGATGCCTGGCCCCTGCCCTCATGACCCAAAGGCAGGCTCCTAGTGAGGCTAGATATGCAGCCCTCCAGAGCAAGATCTCCCGACTGAGCACAGGCACATAACCGATTCCCGAGAGGAGGACCAGCACAGTTGAATGCGCCACCGCAAGCACCACCTCCGACCGCACAACCCATGCTGTGCCCGTGACCACCAGCTGTAATAGAGTAGAGGTGAGGGTCGGTCTTGGAATTTCAAAACCAATGTTGAACCAAAGGATGAAGGATCCATACCACGAGGACAGAAACGGCCAAATGGCAATGATCCATGTAGTCACCGCAAGCAGCTTTACATACGCGTGTGCTCGTAGCATGTTGGATCCAGCCCCAGCCATGCACCTCCTCCTAAGTGCAATGGCAAATACACCGAGGAAGAAAATGCTCAATAGCTCGATGCCGATGCCATGGGAGGATGACTGCTTGCAGAATCACACTGTGCACGTGAGCATCAGAGTATGCCGGCCCTTCACGAAAGGAGGATGCGCCCACGGCATCCGGGGCGAGGGTGAGCTGTGCAGCACGTACAGCCTGGACAAATGCTTCGCTACGTGCCTGGCCAGGTGCGGGCAGTGGTTCACCAGCTCAAGGATGGCTGTGTGCAGCGCGCCGTAGCCGGAGCCCGTGAGGGCGGACTGGAGGGAGCTTGCCTGAGGGAGCTCGAAGCAGATGCCGGCGAGAGCGGCCCCCTTGAGCAGGTCGCTGAGCGGCGAGGTTTGGTCCACCTCCTTCAACTGGAAGTACCCCTCCTCGTCGCCGATGTGCACCGTGATGTCGCCCGCCGACAGCAGCACGGCTGCAAAGGGAGGGCAGAGAGGGGTCGGGAGGGTGGGATGGTCAGTGGTAGGTGCTGCGTGCACACCTGGGAACTGCTCCTTCAGCTTGATGGCGACCTCGCTCACAATGAAATCCGGCCGGAGCGGGACGTGGTCGAGCACCTCGGCGCGCTGGTGGGTGTAGACGCGCACCTCGGTGAGAGGCTCGGGCGGAGGCTCCTCGGCGGGTCGACAACCGCGTCCTGCTTTTGCGTGTCGAGCTTGCGCTTGAGGACAGAGCCGGCCTTCCTCACCTCGATGATGACCGCGTCAAACATCACCGCATCGCAGTCGCTCGTTGAGGCGCAGCTTGAGGTCGCTCCACCTTGGTCGACGCCGGCAGGTTGAGCGTGCCCCTCGCATCTCCCTGCTGCCACAGCAGCGCCACCATCGTCTGCTCTGCCATCGCAGTAAAGTCGTTATGTTCACGCCCCGCTTCCCGGCAATCGTTTTGCCGCTCGGCGGGCCCGGAGAAGCAACCCGGAAAGCACCGGAGGTTGATATTCAGCTCTCTTTCGTTCGGTTGGGGACGGGACGGGGAACTTTTGCGAGTCGGCAGGGGACTGCAGGGGGACAGGGGGAGGGAGGCCCAGCGAGGGGCTGCGGCTGGATCCTACTGCGCGGCTGGACTAAAGACGCACTAAACCTCGCTAAATCTGGATGTAAAGTCGCAGTGAACTCGCGCTAAATTTGCGCTAAATTTGCGCTAAATTTGCGCTAAAGTTGCGCTAAATTTGCGCTAAATTTGCGCTAAATTTGCGCTAAAGATGCAGTAGATAAACACTTCACACCGCACTAAATTTAGACCCAAGCGCTGCAGTGTCCCCGGGCGGGCCCCGCGCAGAAACCCTGCGTTGTCCGATGTCGGCCAGCCGCCTTCGGCCCTCCTCGCGCTGGTGCGCCGACTGGCAGGCATGGGTCCAGCACAACGTCAACGCCGCGCCATCGCGCTTCAACGCGGTCGGAGCCCAGGCCGAGGCGTGCGAGGAGCGGCTGACGCTGCACGCTTCGATCGCCGACAGCATCAACGAGTGGACGGCGACGTCTAGAGTCTCGCTCCTCTTCAAGCGTGTCTCTGGCTCCTCGGACGCCGGCGTCATCACGGCAGCCGGCGAGCACGCAAGCCTGGTCGCCGGGCTCGCGGCGACGCAGATCGACCGCCAGGCCCTCTCGCTGCGCTCCAACACCCGCAAGAGCCACGACGCGCTCGGCGCGGCTCGCATCGTCCAGGACCATCGCGCCGCGCTCGAGCTCCTCTTTCGCGAGCTCGACTCCGGCGCGCCGCTCTCTGTCGAGCTGCTCGTGCGCGTGCACCGGACGCTTCTGGGCGACGCGCCGCACGCCGGAGTGCTCCGCACGAGCACACCCGCGAGGGTCGGCTCGATCGAGTTTGCGCCGGCCGAGCAGGTCCACGCCCTGATGCACGGCCACGTCGCGGCGGTGATCGCGCTGTGCTCGCGACCCGACATCACGCACCTCGGCCTGGCGGCGGCCGCGGCGCACGGCCTCCTCTCCATCCACCCGTTCCACGACGGCAACGGCAGGATGTCGCGCCTTGTGGCCAACGCGATGCTGCGGATGCGCGGCGTCCCCTTCGTCATCAACGTCTGCGCCACCGAGGAGCACCGCGCAGGCTACGTGGGCGCCATCATCGCGAGTCGGGAGGGGAGCGGCTCGGTGGCGCCTTTCGCGACGCTGCTCGCCGACCACCTGAGCCGTGTGTGGGAGGAGCTCGACCGGCTGGGCGAGCGCGCTCGCGCGCAGAGGGACGAGGCGGCGAGCGCGGAGACGCTGCGCAAGCACCGCGAGAGAGCGAGGAAGGACCCGTGCATGATCTGCCTCGAGGAGCACTGCAACATGCTCACCCTCTGCTGTGGCGCGGCGTGCCACATCAACTGCATGGCGCAGTGGCTGAGCGAGGCGGCGAGCCCGACGTGCTGCAACTGCAGGGAAGAGCTGCCGCGGCCGCAGCCGCGGCCCGCGCCGCCTCCTCCCGCCGCGCCGGCAGCGGCGCCTGCGGCGGCGGAAGAGGACGACACCACCACCATTGCGGACGACGACGACACCACCCTCTTCTCCACCGACGACACGCAAGTTGTCGACGACGCCACCACAATCTCCGCCAGAATCGACCGATTCGTCCAGGCGGCCGCGCAGGCGGCCGCCGCCACGGCGCAGGCGTCGGCCGCCTCAGCCAACGACACGACGATTTCGACCGACGACACCACGACCCAGGCGATGCAGCTCAGCAACGACACGACGACCGACGACACGACGGCCCTACCTCAGCCTCGCTACGACGCGCGTGGGCGGCCTGTGTGCGTGTACTGCTCCAACCAGCCGGCCCCCTCCTGCGCCAACTCGAGCTGCGGCCGTTGCTGCGTGCTGCACGCACCCTTTGCGTGTGCGAGGCACAACACGACGTGAAGCATGACGTGAAGGCGGGGCGCTCTGTTATTGTGTTCGCTCCTCGTGCCGTCACTTACGTAACTGTCACGACGTGCGTTACACGGCTGCGGCTGTAGGTCGCAAACAGAGGTAGTGTGCCTGTGGATATACGTGCGCCATTGTCGCGGGCGACGCCCGTCCGCAGAGGGCGCAGGCCGCAGCTGACACGTCGTCGGTGACGATGACGGCGAGGAGCATCACGGTGGAGAGGATCACGGCGCTGCCTGGGCTCGCTCGATTTAGCGGTCTAGGCATGGGCACGCGTTTTTCACGTATCAGGGCTTGAGCAGGTTAACCTCCAAGAAAGAGGCTTCACCGCCGCGCAGAAAAGACCGTGGGCACACAACCAACGAGCAACGTACCCGCTACACGACACCAGACGACCAGAGGCGAAGGAGGGATTTTCGCATCAGGTCCAGCCTAACCCACCCCTAGATCACCCCAATCGCGTTGGATCTATCCCCAAAAATCTTTTGCTGGTCACCAGCACCGTACACGAGAAAGAGCGCCAGTCTTTTCTGCGGTCGGAGCGGCCGCTCACTGCTCGGTACCCCCCCTGCACAACTAAGCTCATGGCCGACCCCCCCCCCCCAGCAGCAGCGCTCATGGCCGACCCCACGAACCGGCGTCTTGTTGCTAGCCCCTCCCACCGCCTTCAACCATGCCACATCACCCCCTCCCTCCAAAACGATCACCTCCCTCGTCCATAAGAATCAGAGCCACAAGGCGCTGCTGCTCAGAGCCAATGTGCAACACTGATAGGGTCTCACCCGCTGAAAGGACGTCCCCCGCTCGCTCCAAGTTGCCGCAAGATTGGTGCACCTAGTCGCCGCCAGGTCGCTGGTCACCGTGGCGTGGCGCCCCGTGGATCGGGAGCGGCTTGTGGTCGGAGGGGCAAGCATGGGCGGCTACGCTACTTGGGCGCGGCGCACCCTCCCCACACGAGTCCAAGCCTTTGGGAGTGACGGCAATGATGGTGATAGGAGCTCATTGCGAGGCGGCCGGGCCTGTTCTCCGCTGCTGTGCCAATCAGTGGCGGGCTCGTTCGGTCACGAAACGTATCGCACGACCGCGTGCGGATATGCGCGTCGCGCAGGGCACGGAGCGCGAGGCGGACCGCGAGACGAGATGAGTATCCGGCCGGTGGAAGGTGAGCCCTGGGCAGAGGTGCGATACACGGTGTACACTGGTCGTAGCGCGAACGCTTCGAAGCACAACGCGAGCCATGAGCGACCAGCGCCTGCTGAGGTGGCTGCTGCCGCCCAAAGGCAGGTCGGTGATGGCGGCACCGAAGGCCCAAGGCGGTGGGCGGGCGGCGCGAGATGCGCATGGCCCAAGGCGGTGGGAAGACGGCGCGAGCCTCAAGAGAGGCCGCTGTTCGTCCCGACCGATGCTGGGGAGATGAGGTGACGTGCGTTGGCGAGCGCGTTGCCAACAAGCAATGATGCTCGAGCTCAACCTTTACTGCCCGGACATGGACATGGCATGCACATGCATTGCTCCATATCTCGTCGAATCTCGTCGTGTCCGTGTCATGCTGCCACCGCCGCACCGCGCAGAGTCGCGCGAGGGTGGCATAGCAGCATGTGTGTGATTGCGAGAGCGGCCCATGTCGCATGTGCAGCATGTGTGTGTGTGTCAGAGGAGAGATGCCGCATGTGTTTTAACCCGCGGCTGAATTCTTTTTGTTTGTACGGACCTAGATCCTAGAGTTGTGAGAGAGCGTTTTGAGATCTCTCTCTCCGACGGCGGCGACGTAGGCGAGACGGCGGCGAGGGTGGCGACGGTCACGATGAAGGTGGCTTGACGAAATGGCGATCGTGACGCCACATCGCGCAACGCGCAACGCGGCGACATGACATCCTCGCTGACGTCGTCCTCTAGGCGGCGCGCAGCGCCGCTCTCGCAGGCTGTCTTTGACGGTTTCTGCATTTTATTTTTGTTTTCAGTCTAGGGGGACCGACCCCCTCAGAGGCGGCGGGCGGGCGCCCACTCACCGAGAGATCAAAAACGCGCTCGGCCCAACTCTCGATCCGCGTCACGGCGATGACGATCGTGACGAGTAATTTCGCTATAGATAGTGATACGCGCTGTTTTCATCGCCATCCTCGTTCATTCGCGCTTCTCGGTCGCTCTTACGCCTCTGCTCTCTGAGCTTCCTTATCCGCTTTGCAATCCGCAGCTTCTCCAGCTCGTCGTAAGTGCCTTCCTCGTCGGCAGCTTTGAGGCGATCGGTGGCTGGGAACCTAGCTTTAGGCTCGGACCACGGGATGTCCAGTCTGATGGCTGGGTTACCGTACCGATTGCCTCTTCCATCCCGACCAGGTGGACTTGGTGGTTCTGATTGCCGCAATTCTGCAAGACGTCTTGTGGGTGGCGGCTGGTGCAGTGGTTGCGGCGAGGCCACTGCAGGTGGTGGCTGTGGTGCCGGTGGCCAACTGGCATCGAGCCTCTCTGGCCGCACTGCTGACTCCGATCGCCGCAAACTTTCAGCACCAGCCAGGGACTGCCGCTGCTTCTCAGCATCAGCCAGGGACAGAGCGAGCGCGATGAGGAGGAGGCTCAACAGGTAGACAATGGTGAGGACGTTGGTTGCGCGGCAGCGGTAGCGCAAGCGCCTCGAGCGGTCGTCGTCGTCTGAGGGGTCGACTTGTTTCTCGCTGCCGAAAGCTCTTCTGAGCATACCGGCGAGGGGGGTGCCTAGACGTCGGCGGGCAGCTGCGAAGGAGTCTTGTGATTAAAAGAATTGACTCCGCGCCTCGGGAGCCGCCTAAGCGACTCCCGCGAGGGCGGTGAGGCAGCTCCGTGCACTCGACCGGTGTTGTGTGATTCAAAAAAGTTTCTCGCGCTGAAGGCACCAAGGAGGAAAACCGAAACCGTTTGGGTGTCCGACATTTGCAGCGAATTCTTTATAGTACCCAAAAAAGAAAATCGCGCGGGCCGACGAGGGGAGGAACGAGCAGAGGAACGAGCAGCCGTGCGGCGCGGGAGCGGCGTGGGGCTGATGGACGAGGCTGGAGACCTTGGTGGCGACCTCGGCTCGGGCCCAGCGAGCTGCAGCGGCACGTTCATCGACGCGTGCCCGTCGGACTGCTTCTGGTGCGTTGACAGAGACGTGTGCACCGACGATTGGACTGCTTGCGAGATGCGCGTCTCTGCACACTCTTTTCCGTCCCTCCTCTCGCTCGCCGCGATTGCCCTGTTCTTGGTTGCTGTTTGCTGGCTCCGCCACGGCAGCTTGAGTGCCGACGAGGAGGACGACGAGGACTACCGGCCGCAGCAGCAGCAGCAAGCAGGCTGCGCTCCTGCCAGGCACGACTCGTCCTGGAGCGTCGTGGAGCTCGTGGAGCCGAGCAGAGGAGACCCAGGCACTTGGACGGGCGAGGCGGTGAGCGAGCCGTTCTGCAGCGAAAGAAATGGGGTGGTGCCCGAGGGCCAACGGTTGCTCGCTGTCGTCTGAGCGGGGGGTGTATTCAGGAGGTGGTACCTGGTACGTCAACGTGTATATATCTGAATTTTGGTGTAGTGGCGTAGGGCTCCAACGACGCTGCCAGAATTGGGTGCCAATATAAAAAAGCCGTAAGGGCCCACGCACATAACCGCCTCGGCAGAGCGCGCGTTCTTCAGGGCAGCTCGTCCAGGACGGGGCTAGCGCGCATGGCGCGCCAGTCTGCTATCGTTGCGCCGAGCTCCGTGAGGCATTCTGGGTTCGATATCTCCGCCACGTCGCCTCCAAAGTTGCCGGCAAAGAGCTGGCCGACGACCTGCCGCATCGGCTTGGAGTTGTGCGTGCGCGGGATCGCGCCGATCGGGATCAGGTCGGTCGGGACGCAATGCTCGCCGTGCGCCTCGTGCACCAGCTTTTTGAGCGCCGCCACCAGCTCCTCGTTGAGCGCGCACCCCTCCTGCAGCACGAGGCACGCCACCGGCGCCATCTCCGCCGGCGCGCCAGCGCCGCGCCGGCCGCCCTCGCTCCTCGTGCGCGGCAGCTCGCCCGCCTCTGGCCCGACCGGCACGACCACCACCAGGCAGTCGAGCACCGCCCGCTGCTTGAGCAGCGTGTTCTCGACCTCGCACACGCACACGCGGCCGGCGCCGGCCGCCGCCTTGCGACCGGGAGAGCGCTCGTGGTCGGTGCCGCTGCTGAGCATCAGCTCGTGGTGGCGGCCGATGACGGAGACGGACCCGTCCCCCCACCGCTGCGCGAGATCGCCGAGCGAGAAGGCGCGCTCGCGCTCGCCGTCGACCAGGTACTCTGGCCAGTAGGCGCGCGCGTAGAGCTCGTGGTCGCCGCGCCAGCCGGCGGTGCCCAGCTCGTCGACCCGGCCCCACACCGTCCGCGCCATCGCGGGCCACGGCCGGCGGCACACGAGCACGCCCGTCTCGGAGCCGTCTTGGCTCGCGGTGTGGAAGCTCGCGCCTGGAGCACTCGCCCCCCACGGCCGTAGCAGCGCCGACGAGCCGACCTCGCGCAGCGGGGCGCCGGCGAGGGAACCGGCGGCGTCGTCGCAAGCGGCCACGCGCTGGCTGGCCCGCCCGCCCCCCTCGCCCCCCTGCGAGGCCGGAGCGTCGGGCACCCACACCGCTGCGTCGACCCAAGGCAGCTCTCGCATCCTCGCGTCGGCGCGCACCGGCTGCTCCGCGTTGCCGTAAGTTGGCGCGAGGACCATCACGCCGTGCTCCGTCGCCCAATACGCGTTGATGTAGTGCGAGGCGAGCGACTCCATCGCCAGCTCGTGCGCCGTGGCGGAGAGCGGCTCGCCTAAGGGACAGCTCGAGTCCGTCAACCAGCGGGACATCGTGAGGTTGGAGCGGCGGCGGAGAGCGGCGCGCCGCACGAGACGCCGACGCGCAAATGTGCCGCGCCCGGCTCCCGCCCGCGCTCGCCGCGGCCGAGTGCGCGCTTGAGCACCGACGCCGAGGCGATGAAGCCGGTCACGCGCGCGTGCGCCATCACGGCGGAGAGGGTCGACGGCGCCAGCTCGTCCCACGGGCCGAGCACGGTCGTGCAGCGGCAGCCGAGCGCGCCGGCGACGGCGTACGCCTGGCCGGTGATCCACGAGGGGAGAGGTGGGGAGAGGTGGGGAGAGGTGGGGAGAGGTCGGGAGAGGTGGGGAGAGGTGGGGAGAGGTGGGGAGAGGTGGGGAGAGGTGGGGAGAGGTGGGGAGAGGTGGGGAGAGGTGGGGAGAGAGTACGCCTGGCCGGTGATCCACGAGGGCGCCGCGCGCACGAGTACCACATCCGAGCCGCGCCGCACGTCGAGCACCGTCTCCATGGTAGGACGCCC